CCTTGCCTTTTGTTTAGTTGCCCAGTATTATGGTTGCTGATTTAGGCACTCGTTTAGCAAGGAAGCCTAGGTATTTTAGGCTGACAGCTYGACCAACTCTTTTGAACAGCAGAGTTCTCTTAAGAGGAGCGAAAATGTGGCCATGACCTCTCCGTCTGTGGTTTAAATCACAGCCAGGCAGCACAGCACTGAGCAGGATTGATTTGGGCAGTCACTGGTGTTATGCAGGGCAGTGCTGTGCATAACCTCTATACAGTTGTGTATAAACAGCATAAAATTGGTACTGTAGACAACCCTTTAATAATTGCCTGCAGCTCCTTGAAGCTGCTTAATGCTCAATTAATCAGCGCCTGGCTCTCCACTCCCGGCGTGGATTCTAGTGAACAGCAGTTGTCTCAAGCACCTGACTGGTATTTCAACACTGGTGATATAATAAAGAGCAATAGAAGAGACCTGGTTGGTTTTCCATTGCATTTATTGGGTTTATCCTCATGTTCTTGCAGATCACAGAGTAGACTGGGGACCTTTTCCTCCAGTCTGGTGAGTTTAGTGAATGTGTGCGCATTTTTTGGATATGGCACAATCACAGGAGTTCAAAAAAACATATACCTATATGTATGCATGCATGTATATATTCTGACCCACCACTATAAAGGACTAGTTAGTTCCCTAAGCAAATCTACAGGATCTCTGACCCCTTGTTTACCATAGACTTTGAGGAGACTGATTCTATAATGAGAAAAAAAGAAAAAATAGTATTAAAGAAAAAAAAAAAAAAAAAAAAAAAAGGAAAATGCCAGAAGAAGCAGATTGCTTGCTTGATATTTATATTAGCAATTCTATACCAACCCTATATATTATGGAATATATATATATATATTATATATATATAAAACATATATATTACTTACATGGCCACTTGTTATTTTTTCCATGAATTATCTACTTTCCCAGTACATGGGTTCTTCAGTTCTGCAGTAAAMTCAAGGACCCAAAAGTGCAGCATTTTCTCTCTTTTTTGGTGGAAGTTTGACTGTCTATAGGGAATAAGTCTCAGCCTTGTCCTGAGGCAAATGCAGACTCAGTTCTTCCATTGATGCTCTTGGCAGTTCCTGCAGAGCAGGACTATGCACAGGGCAGGTGATCCCTGAGGGCTGCAGCTCATGTGCAGTACAGCACATGGTCTCTCGTGCCCTCAAACCTAACACGGGTCCAATATTAAGTTTGTTAACGCACTTAATGCCGATCTGCTGGATACAAAAGGCCCCATTCAGAAGCTTGATTTTCAGATTATAATGTCAATGAGACTAAATGCAATGGTACAGTGACATTAAGTGTTAATGCTTTTGCAGTGAAAAAGATCCAAAGAAATKTAATATTTGTATCCAGAGGGCACTATTTCAATAAAGTCATCTGACAGAAATATTAAGGGAAAGTAACATTTTCATTCATAGCCTGGAAATTCATACCCAGATGGAGAAGTTAGTTCATAGTATTCTTAAACCGTGGGTAAAAKTGCTTAATGCAACAGAAGAGTTTTCCATCTGCAGCAGTTTTATCAGTCCTAAGCTGTGACCCTGTCTCCAAGGCAACTGTTTCTAAATATTAGATGTTAAGGATCTATAGAATAAATGAGAGCTGTGAAATGTACATGTATAATCCTATCAAGGAGAAGGGCAATGAAATGCTAACACAAGAAAAGAGGTGAAGGCAGCACTAGAACCTGAATATGGAATTGTGGTCTCTAAATTCAGAATGTAATAATTAAATATTGTTGTTTGTTAATATAAACTTTATAGTGAATAACCTGTGCTGCTCTTGTTTGGTTTAATATAGTTCTTCTACACCTCTTTTGCCTTACAGATGCATACAGGCACACACACCCAATACAAAATTTCTTTGTGAGATCCCCATTACCTGAGAAAGGACTAAAGMCACCACAGAAAGGAACTACTGTATCATGAATAGGAACATCATGACTGTGCTGACATTTGCTCTCACCATCATGCTAGCATCTGCTGCATATCACATAATTTCCAGTTGTTTTGGCCAGAAAGAAAAGAGAATGTAAACTTTGTCTTGTACTTGACACTTCAGGGAAAGGAGAAAGAACTCAGATTATTTCWTGAGATTTTTATTGATATTCAGACTGGTAATAGCCTACTAAGAAAAAAGCCTACTAAGAAGAACCAGACCAGATACCAAGCTGAAGAAGATGGTACAGATGGCTAGAATAACAGAGAACCACTCACAGAAGGAAAAAAACATGAAGTGCAATAAGAAGCAAACCACAGGCACACAGGTCTTTCCATGTTTGTCCAGCTGGACTGTTTCTCATATCCATCACCAAGTAAAATAAACAAACTAAAACTCCAATAAGCTGAATAGTAACTGCAGGATCTATCATGGAAGTCAGGGTGAGGGACTGGCACTTACCCACGGGAGACTGCTGAAGGGTAAGTTATTGAGAGGTTTTGTCAGTTCATGTCTATGAATTCCATTTGTCCGGGGAGAGGAAATATTGAGCACCTGAAAATACTGCTGCCATAGAGTTTGCATCTGAAGTGGTAGGTCATAGTTGGGCAGAATTAGTATGATGTTGATTAAAATACTGTGTCTGAGCCACAGAAAATCAATCCCAAGGTACCTACAAAATACATGTTAGTGCCATGCAAACCACGCAGCACATTCCTGCTTTTGTTTACTAAATGAGAAGCACAGTCAGTCAGTTCTGAACGAATTTGTTTCCAGCAATCATGACATATCTAGCCCTGAGAACAGACTGAACTCAAACAAACCAGGACTAACTCCTTATGATTCAAGCAGTGCCAATGGGAGAGCCGAGATAAGGAAGGAAGACCCTGTATGTACATGTCCACTTCTTTCTGCTAGTTGTGGAAGGAGGATGTAAAGATACTATGTTTACTTGGTCTTACTTTGCAGGTTAAGTCTTAGCACTCTTGCTGCAGTCGTGTGTAGTTCTCTCTCACCTCGCAGAGCTGATACACTGAATTTTGGTGAAATGTACTTCAGAAATCTCAATTAAACAAGCTACTGAAATAGAGAACTTCACCATCTCCTATGAGTGATCGATCACCAGGGAATTCTAAAAAGCATGAGTGGATTTACAGTTTGTTCTAAACTGTCACTATTTTTTTTTTTTTGAGTTATTAGATGTGTTTAGCCATATGGGTTACAATAAGCCCATTTATTTTGATTGTGATGTTCGCATACTTTGTGTGAAACTCAAGTGCAAATGCTTTGCTGACAAGGCATGGGCTAACAGATGCAGCTCCATAATGAGTTGGCCTTGTATTCCTAGCTGGCAACTGCAACAGACCTCCTTTCTGCTGAGGACCAGGCACTAATGGATATTGATCATCAAATTAGAAGGCTCCCCCAAGCAGCAAAATGGACTATAAGAGCTGTGCCCACCCACCCACCTCCTCCTCACCCCGCACTGGCCCCGCAAAAAAAAATTAAAAAAGAGCATCCTAGCCAGCTGTATCAGGTCTAGGACCTGCAAGGTAGACTTGGTGAAGTCTACTCCAAAAGTAGTCTGTTAACATGTTAACATGACAAAATGGAGAGTTTGTGGGTCCCAAAACAAAATCTAATTATCTTTTCCTTTATTCTCTGATCATATTCTGCAAATGTGTCACTTTCTTTTATGGACAAGATTCCTTTTCCGCTGTGAAGACGCTAGTGATGCAAGAGTTTGAATTACTGGAACACAGATGTCTCTGAGAATACAAAATCTATTGAGAGAGCAGGAACATCTCTTTCCTCACGCACCTTCATTTAGCTGAGACATATGTCAAAGTTTACTTGTCAACCATTTAATTTCTCTTATCAACAAATGCAAAGTTTTGTATTGATGAAGTATGAAAATATAAATATTTCTCAGAAATCTCAGCCATTACAAAAATAAATAGAGATCAAGCAGCAATCTCAACTCATTATATATAGGAAATATTTTCCTGGTTCTGTTTAAAGATGCATCATCATAATAAAATGGAGGTAATTATTTAATTATGAGAGCATTATCCATTGAATAGCAGCAGTGGCAAGGACAAATCTACAGAGTTAAGGTTTCTGAAGACCATTCCTGAGATGATATGTGAAGTAAGTGTTACTCCTTTTTATGAAGAATGGATAAATATGAACACATAACATGGAGAAAACTTAACATGCTTATTTGTATTAAAAATACTGTTATTTAAACAACTGCAGCTACAAACTATTACTGCTTATACTTAAAATAATGTATAAGTAATATCAAAACGTACTTCAGTAAAGAAGAGGTGAATTGATATTGCTTCTGGATCTCCCTAGAGATGGTACATTCTGCTTTTTCTGTTTAACTTTGTAGCAGTGTTGTGCATTACTCTAATTATCAGGCTGCAAGGTTGGTAATTAGAACTTCTCAGGGTAATTAGAAGTTCCCAAGGTTGGGAACTTGGTGTTCCCAGCCCGACACACGGCTCTGCAGCATGGATATCTTGCCATAGAGTTAAACGAGGTCATGGGTTTTCATTTGTTTTACTATTGTATCACGTGCATACTGCGGTAACAAGGAGACTACACTGATTTGCAGCTTGTGGATAGAATACTTAAACTTGTCAGCATGCCATGCTGGTTCACATGAGGAGAAGCAAGGAAATGGCCTGTTCACCAGCTCTCACCRCAAAGTGGTGTGGTTTCAGGAAGAGATTTCCACTTGAACTTGCAGAGTTCTCCCAAATACCGTAGTGTTACTCTGCTAATACACTGCCTTTCATTTCAGCAAGACTTTTTTGCTCTTTCTTGAGTTCTAGTCATCTGGTTGGCTTTTGGGTCCTTCGCCATTCTTCAGAAAACTTGGTTTCAGGCTGACATAAGCTGACTTAGAAATAGAGCTCTTTATTTTTGTTTGGTATGGAGGGGCCTGTGCTAAAGAGTTTATACAGGAAYGACAGTGCCATTAATGTTACCCATTTATCTCCTTAACGCTTCTGCAGGTTTTGGAATGACCACACCAGCAACCGTGGCTGGAAAAGTATTCCTCATTGTTTATGGCCTTTTTGGGTGCGCTGGGACTATTCTTTTCTTCAACCTCTTCTTGGAACGTATTATCTCTCTCCTGGCATTTATCATGAAGGCCTGTCATGAGAGACAACTGCGAAGAAGTGGTCTCCTACCTCCCAACTTCCAAAGGGGGTCAGCTATCTCTGGGGTTGGCAGCCTTGTCGGGTGGAAGCCATCTGTTTATCATGTGATGCTGATCCTAGGAATTTTTGCTATCACACTTTCTTGCTGTGCCTCGGCAATGTACACAGCAGTGGAAGGATGGAACTACATTGACTCCTTGTACTACTGTTTTGTCACCTTTAGCACCATCGGCTTTGGAGATTTGGTAAGCAACCAGAATGCTGTATACCAAAATCAGGGATTATACAGATTCGGAAACTTCATATTTATATTAATGGGAGTATGTTGCATATACTCTCTTTTTAATGTAATCTCAATTGTAATCAAGCAAGTTTTGAACTGGGTGTTGAAAAAATTCGAATGCAGATGTTGCCCAAAGTGCCATAAATCAAGTGCCCGCCTTGGGCGTCGCAACGCCATCACCCCAGGAGCTCGCCTGCGCCGACACAACATTTCTGTGGAAACTGATGGACAGTACGACAGCGACACAGAAGGGAGGAGGCTTTCTGGAGAGATGATCTCTATGAGAGAGCTCACAGCATCGAATAAAGTCTCGCTGGCCATTTTGCAAAAGCAGCTGTCCGAAACAGCCAACGGCTACCCAAGGAACGTTTGCATCAACACCAGGCAGAACGGTTTCTCTGCAGGGGTGGGTGCTCTAGCCATCATGAACAACAGATTGGCAGAAACAAGTGATTCTAGGTAGAGTTTTTGAAATTTTCTTCTCTAAGAAAATGATGCTTTCTTATTGTTTCTTTAATAAAACTAAAATGGTGATTTGGGTGGAATTATCGCCATAAACTCCTAGAAAGTCTTAAATACAGAGGCAGTCTTGGTATTCATTGGACATTTAACAGTTTAGTTTCTGGAGTTTTTTTGAGTCTTCTCTAATATGCAGTAACATCTTTACCATAATGTTACAGTTTTCCCCAAAGTAGGTRATGGGAAAGACATTGTACAGAATTTGATGCAATTTTAGAGGGACAGTGTGCATAGCTAAGATGGTGTCTAAAAAGACATATTGTTTTTCAGAAAATAACCCAAATCAAACTCCAGGTTGAAGTACATTTTGGGCAAGCTCAATTCCAGTTTCAAGTTTGACAGATTAGGGACAATCTAAACCAGTATCTCGCAGTTTGGTGAAGGATGGATCTGGCTGTGAATTTTGCACTTCATGCTCTTCACCAACTCCTCATGCCAGAATTTGGCATATTTATAACATAAATGTAGGTGACTGCAATCACACCATCTTCAGGGTGATTCTGATTACTCATTTGATAAATACTACTGACTTCAATGACAGAAGGTCAGATTGACTTGATTCCCCTAGCTATGAATGATGTGTTTCAGATAGTCTTGTCTGAAACACTACCTGTTACCTAACCCTTAAAAGTCATGGAGTTATCAGTTAGAACCACAACGTTAGAAGATGCAAAACTATTCCTACCTGCTGAATAACTGAAAACAGGTAATTGACAGCTCCAGAACTGACCTCATTCAAGGCAAGAGAAGCCAATATTCACCTCTGATGTCAAGTTTTTGCATTGACACTGAAATGTAAATTAAAGTTTATTTTGTTAGCTTTACATGAAAAAAAAAGCTTCTAAAGTGAATGTAAGTTCTGTTGTCGTAAATTGCATTTTCAGCAATATTACTGCAGCGGTTCATGCAAAGATTTTGTTGACAGTTCTTGATGGTCCCCAACACAGTATTTATTTTCAACAAATCTGACAGTGAAGCTTGCAGGAAAGAGCATTGCTTCAGAACTTCCCCAAAAGTCAACCTCTTCCAAAATATTGWTACTAAACCATAAATTGGTCCATGTTACTCTGTTAAATCATATTTGCCCTGTAGCTGTCTGAATTGTTTAAGTACCAGAAGACATCTTCAAATAAAGCWGCTATAAGTCTCTAGTTTAGCTCAACAAGTGACTGAAGAAAAAATTCTGCAAATCTCTTTTAGAAATATTTGCAAAGCTCTAAGTCATTTCTCTAAACTCTTCGTACTATGCTATTCCTTTAATGCTGTGAASATAGTAAAAAAGGCTTTCAATTGTGTTTGTGCAAGAAACACAATCCAAGCCTGAAGTTTGAGAAATAATGGTTGCCTCTTCTTGAAAATTACTTGAATAGTCAAGGTCATGATTATTAAGTTTCTTGTTGCATAGACTGAAAAAAGTTAGAATACTGACAATGTTTGAAAATATTTCCACGAAGGATCATACAGATATTTTGTTAGTGAGGTCTCCACCATTTTGCTTTTCTTTAAATTCGTAGAGTGCAAAATGTTTTGGCATTTAACCCTGGCATTTAATTACAGAGCCAGAAGTTTTGCACACCTGTGACTGCCAGCTGAAGGGTAACAGTGATTATTATGTCTTTGATCTAAAGAAAAAAGAATTGGAGGAGTAGATAAAATTTCATGCAAGGATCTATATCATACTGTAAATGCGGCCACGACTTTTATCAAGATAACATGTGGCAAAAAAAATGCTTGGTAATGTGTGTTCTGTATCTATGGTCCCGAATCATAACTAAGAATACTGAGAGGCAGCATTCAAGCAGCATTCCTCTGACAAGAGCTTCCTTCATGACAGAAAGACCCCTAAATAGCACCCATCAGAGTGTGTGCCCTCCCTGTCTCAAAGTCTGCATTTTAGGAGCCTTCTTCCAGATTTTACCTGTTTCTCCTGRTGGAGAAACAGGTAAAATCAAAGTAGTGGTGAGGCTCAGGTGAAGTCCACTGAAGTTTAGATTAAACTGGATCTTTAGGTCTAGGTCCTGTTCTGTGAAAGACTCAGAAGCTTGAGCTGGGAAGACTTACAGGGAAGCTGCTTCCAGAGCTGCAGGGATCATCTCTGAAAATAGCAGAGGCAGAGAACCGATAGAACTGAAGATTTTTCCTTTCCCCCTCCCCAGGAATACCCCAGGGGGTAAATCTATTTATTATTATTTATGATAATTATTATTATTAGACAGACACCATCCCAAAAGACTTACTATTTTAATAGCTAGGACTCCAAAACACGGCAGAACTGCATAGGTTTGGTAGCTAGATGCTAAGTTTTATTCATTTTACTCTTAAAAACAAGTCAAAATATGTTTAGCGTTCTGTGTTCTCAAGAACTATATTTTGTGAATATTTTTGCAAGATGAGGGGTTTTATTTTTTCAGTAAGATTTTTTTAAAAGAGAACTATTATAACTGTCGTTTGGGATTTGCTTAAATATTTGTAAATTGTTTTCAAACTACCTATATTATTCCTGCGTGCAAAATGTGATGAATATGAAATTGTACAAACCTCCACTGTTATTTCTGTGCTTTTTCTGAATCAATACTGAGGCAGATGGAGGCTGCTGGAACATGATTTAAATGTTTCTGATTCTTCTCGTTCCTCTGATCTGGATGGACCCAAGGCAATGCCATGGCAAGACCCTTTGCAGTCCCTGTAGACTTCAGTAGGAGTTAAATTGTCTCCCATAGCCGGATTCCCCAAGAGATTTGGGCATCTGGTTGCTACTCTATGCACTGATKTCTGACATTTCGTAGCTCCCCAAATCCTTGAAAAAACTCCATTTTGCTGCTTCTCAGTGCAGATATCCCCAAATGCTGACACCCCTGTCATGTGGACCCCATTATCTAAGCTGGTAAAATCTCATGGAGCTGTCTGATCCAGCACGCCCTGCTTATTGAGGGCTTCAGAGACTGCTGCTGAATTGGGTCTCACTGGAGAGCTTCTGACAAGAAGTAGCCTTACACTTCCCTTGTACTCATATTCACTAGCCAAATTAGTTCAGTCTTTCCCAGCCCCTCCTGCCTTTTCTTTAGCTTCCTCACAGCAACTTTCCACTGAATTTACAAAAATTGGTCACCTAATTCTTCCTTTTTATTGCATATGGTGCAACTCAGGATTCCCCAGGGCAGTTGGCTCCATCTGTGAATTCAACACTAACCATGTACCAGCTGCATGAAATGCAATTCCTGCTGGTATTCTGTTTTCACAGACAGAGCAGATACCTGGACACAGACTGAAGCACAAGAAATGCAGACGGAAACTGAAGGAATGGAGTGAGAAAATGAAAGCACACTGCACTAAATTGCACTTTCTTTTCAGGTAACTTTAGGGTTATATTGTATTCGCACTATGTTGTTTTTTACAAGGTTTTATTTTTGGGCAGCCTTGTAGAACGAATTTCCATTAAAAATGCAAATAACCTGGGATTAAGGAGTTCATCCTCCTCGATACATGCCCCTCTGCATCGCGGTGCAGAACAGCAGCAGTAGCTCCTACCTGAGCCGGATGCAGCCATCACCGTGTTGCTCAGATGCTGTGCCCCCAACCAGTGTTTTGCTGTTGGAGCCTGAGAAGCACATTCAGGAGCAGCAGAAAGCCTCAGTACTTAGGATTTCCTTTGAGCCTCCACCTAATGAGAGCAGTGCCTSCATAGGCAGGCGCTGCTCAGGCCTCCATCAAGGAGGGAGGAGAGCCTGCATTCTCCTGACCCATACACCAGTATCTTGCAGATGAAAATTGAAAAGCAAGTGCAATATAACAAGGCACAAAGACCAAATTCAAGCAAAGTCTTTTGTTTCTGTTAGGGAATGCAGCATTTACCAACTTCTGAAACCTGAAGCGTTTCCTTGCTTCAGGTGGCTTTAAAAARCCAATAAATTTACTTCTTGGTATTTGTCTTTCCCATGTGTGTCTCAAACAAAGCTTAGAGACACACTGACATATCCTTAGATTGGATTTTTTTTCCCCACCAGAAAATACACTTCCAAGATTTGTGGGGAACGAAAAAAAATACATGGCCTATTAGTTCCTTAAAATGTGAAGGATGTCCTCCTGACAATATAAATGTTCAAATAAATAATGTTACTGACCTTGGTAACAAATGGAAGTTTTTGAAGCACAAGCTCTAGTTTGCCTGTCTCCCTCTAGAAGAAGCATTTCATAAGTAACTCGTATCAGTTGTAACAAGAATTATGAACATTCTTCAGGAGGCAATTGGGGCAGTGCAGTAGAAAGCCAAATTAAAGTGGAAACAAGGTCAGTTACAAAGGAAATTAGGGCCTCTTTGACATGCATGTGCTAACTGAGAACATAATTGCCAGCATTTTGCAGACCAGTTTAGTGAGGAGAGCCAAGAGACGTGTAAGAGTCGTGTTAAAGTGCTTGGAGAACTCACTGTTGCCATGCCGTGGTCATGCAGAGATGTGTTGTGATGCTGCCCATCAGTTTAGTGTTATTGTCCTAGCACAGCTTCAGGCCTTYGATTTGGCCTTAACCTCTTCTTCTCCCTAGGTTTCTGTGGGTGAAAATTCGGCTGTATTAGGAACATTTACATCTATTTCAGTCATTTTTTTTCGCTTGTTAATGAAAGGAGAACCTAAGCAAAAGAGGGGCCATAAAGCCAGGCATATATTGCAGGTTGGATATAAGCCTGATTACTTGTATGGGACAAATTTACAATTAAACAAAAATTATCTGTAGCACTGAGCCCATTCTCGTTTTGTGTGTGTGTGTTCCCAAAACTTTTTAACTTGAAAAAAAAATACTAGCTAATTATTCTGATGAATGTTCAGATAGAGTTTAAATAAAGTCATGCTTTGGGTAATGCTGATTACTCACATACAGAAAACCTATGGATATGGCTGAAATGACTTCTGCTCTAATTGGCTTACTAATGTGCCTTTCCAACACAACACACATTTTCAGTGCTGTATTTAAATAATACAATTAATGTTATGTTACAAAATGAATTCAGTTAGGGCCTATTAATACTTGACTCACAAAAGTAACTAATGAAGTGTGAACTACACATTTTATAGCTAATATGCAATTTTTTTTTTGTGACTACTTCCACCTTTGAGCTTACATTCTCCTTTTGTGAATATTCATACTAAGAAAACAAGCGTTAGGTTATGGAAAGTGCATGACAATATGGCCAATTCCACTGAGGTTTGAACTGTAGGATATGCATATGAATATATGCACAGTAAATGGTTCGTTCTGTATCATAAATATACTATGTAGCAATGGCACAGAGAACACAGTACTTCCAATCTACATGGACACAGAAGGCAGCTACCAATAAAGATGCATGTTTTTTTCTCTTACTCTTCTTATTTACTAAATGGTTAACTTCCACCCTTTAATTAGAATATAACTGTTAAGGCAGAAGGAGATGCCAGTTCCAGAAGCACTGCCTGGCCAGAAAGAGGTCCAGGCTCAGATGAAAGGTCATGTTCTCAGCTCCCAGGAGCTGGAATGGTTGTGTTCTGAAGGAGCACTGGGCATACTGCATATAGCAAATTTGCAGTCTCCATATCTATCCCACTAATTCCTTCCTTGGGAAAGGAAAAATACTGTAGTTATAGATACAATTTATAGCGGAATACATAGGAGTTTAGCAATTTAGTTTGAGAAAGAAAACACAGGCTTGTATCAAGGTATATCAAGAAAGAGGCCTTCTACCATCTGTTGATCTCCTTTCATTTCCAGACCCTACAGATATTTACATCTCTATTTTTTCTGTTGTTAAGTTGATGTCATAACACAGTTGTCCCCAAAAGAATGAAAAGTGTGTGGWAAGGGAAAGACTTGGAAGTATTTTCCAACAAATCCAGCAAAAAAACGAAGGCTTGTTTTGCTTTAAATAGATGCATGTGCATTTTGCCTGTGTTGCGCAGCACTGAGGAACCACCTTGGCCCATGACAGCTCAGTTGCATCACCGTCTCTCCTGCTTCCTTGGAATATCAGCAGGAAGGGAAGAAACAGCCAACACATGCCTACATGTRCTGTGCATTTTGTCCAAGAGGTGAACACTGGTGAGGCCTGATTTGCAAATCTAAAATAAACCACATGGATGTAGATGTATTGCAAAGATAGGCGTTATGTAGGTGCACTGTACGCCAAGATTTCCATACCCAGGTTCCACCTCCATCCCCACGTCCCTGCTGGGCCTTGGCTAGACAGCCCACAAGCCTAGACCTAGCACTAGGAAATGCTGGGCAGGGCTATGGAGGTGGATTTTYAGGTGGGCAAGGCTTAGTCCATGTGTTTTCACAGCAGCTTTCTCAAGCCTTCTAGGAAATACAAATGTAAAATTCCCATAATCTTTTTTACTTCACAGACCGTAAGATTACTTTTTAAAGCCAGTGAGCCAATGCTTTTATAATACAGTAAATAAATTGAAAAGGATCACTGATAATGCTGACACATGCAATTCAAATAGCAAGTATTTGCCTGGTGCCTCTCATTTCCTAGCTTTTACATTATTGATTCAATCTTATTCCTGCAAATAAAATACATCCCCCCAAAATCTGCATATAGTAATATCTGTAGGCTGTACAGGCGATGTAAGACTTCACTTCTAATTTTACAGTAAACCTCAGTATTTGAAAGCACAATATCTGGAAAATGTTATATTTTAACGGAGGCATAATTTATAAACAAAAATAACAACAGTTTTGCTTGACATATACAGACAGATCCACTTTTAACTCCCTAGAATACTACTTTGTTGTAGACTTCCTGCAAGATTTTTAAGACAATTAAAAAGAATTTAAGGATATAAAAATATATGACTTGAATGATATAGAAATATATCTGCTCGAAAGTATTTCTGTTTCATTTCAGTTTCCTTTTAAAGGGCACAGCTTGGCAGAGATGCTTAACTGAGCTAGCATTATTATCTCCCATTATGAACATCAGATGAATTTTGCTTCTGCAATTAAGTTTACTATTTTTGGTATGTATTTACTTGCATTTCAATAAGTGTGAATTAAAAATGGAATGACCAGTTCTCTGTTGGTTTCTACTTGATATCACTTTCTCCTTTCTATGCCGCTTACAAACTGCTAAAATATTGGCCTGACCAGCAAATGTTCCCACATAGATGGGGAAAAGTTATTCCTGTTTTATTTGCTATTTTACCTAACTTGGGTACGTTTTTATAAGAAAATTAAAAGGATTTTCCATTTGGAAAATGCCTTACAGTATACATTCATTCCTATTAATAGAACTTTTAAAGAGAATAAAATAGAGCATCCCAAAGAGCTATAAACACAATTGTATTTACAAACACTCAAAATTGAGTATTTTTACCCATTTGGCAACTACCAAATAATGGCACTTCATGTCCCCATGCCTCAGGGCATGGTTTGGTGTCACCTCAGGCTGCTGCAACATCTAAAGGTCGTCCTCATCCTCCCCTGCCTCACCTCCACCTCCTGCCCCTGTCCTTGCATCAGGGCCAGCGCTTGTGCAGCCACAGGATGAATTAGCTTAAGCGGGTAGCTGGCAAACAAAATAAAAATTAAAAAAAAAAAAAAAAATGTTTAATCAGCTCATTGAACTGGCTTGTTGTGTAGCAACAGACTTGAGACARTGCAAGGAGAAGACTTCTTTTGGCTTTCTTTATGATGACAGCACATACATAAATACTACATGATGAGTCAGTTACAAGTCTGGTTTTATTTGCTAAGAGGTCTATGGTTGTCTTTAGCAGTAAAAACGGACGACCAGTCTTACCATCGTTCAGTTACAAAGCAGCAAGAGAAGATGTGGTGCTCTGTGCACAAAGTAAGGTGCTAAAATTTACAATCGGGCCCAAAACCTCAGTAATACGAGCCAAAGTTACAATGCCATCACTTTTTAATGTTTAAATATACTCYGTGGCAAACCAGACCTACTGCTTGAGGCAAAGCCCCTGCTTCTGGCAGCACTAGGATGGCAAAGCCATTTTTCTGAAATGAAAGAAAAATATATTTCAGGGCACATATAGTCTGAACAAGACCTATTTTAACAGGATGTATTGGACTGAGGTGAAAGTAGTTTTAAGGGCTCCTGTGCTTTGGCACCATGACTACTTGTCCAGTCCCCAGCGTGACACGAGGAGGGCTGGAGGGTTTCTGCATTTTGGGGGACAAACTCAAAGCCRTGGCTGAAGGAGCAGGCAGCCCTGTGGGATGCAGCTCTCCGCCATCCGCTGGTTTGTGGCAAGGGATGTACTGCCAGTAACCTGGTGCAAATCGTCAGCAATGTGGCCACGCTCCTGGCTTTTGAATGGGCTAAAAACATCATGAAGTATAGAGATTGTTTTCTTTTTCRATGATTAAAAAGGGTGTTGCATATTATTCACAGCCTACAAACTAGATGTCCTGAATCTCAGTTTTCCCCAGCTGATCTTTCAGTCCCTTTCACAATGGGTCTCAATTGCTTTGCCAATTTTGTCAAAGATCTGCCTGGCTGATTACCCAAATATGCCTGGTTCTCTCTTGATAGTTTTGCAAAAAATAAATAAATAAAAATACAAAACCTGCCGCCATCACTGTATCAGAAAAGCAGTGTAATGCTAAATGAATGACATGGTTATCACACATGCAAAAACTCTGAGCAAAGCCCTATCTCTCCACACCAGCCAGCTGCTCTCCTGGCATTAAGGGAAGTTCTAGCTCATGAGACCAGGCTCTTGAATGGTTAGGGTGCTGGGCACAGCTCTGTGAACAGCTGCAGCAGCAGAAATGGCATTTGCTGAAAAAGAAGAGYTCTACAGTAGTTTCTACATGGTTCAGAAATTTTTCCTCACCCATGGATTGAAAATGGAGTAGTTGATGAAGATGACAAATCTTATATAGGCACATGCTTATTAAAAAAAAAAAAAATGTAGCAGGTAAATATGTATGTTAGGTGGGAATATTTTAACATCTGAGAAGAAATTCAGTTGGTCCCTGAAGAATCTGGCATCTTTCTGGCCAGAAACAGCCCTGGCAGTTCCAGGTGTCCAATTATCAATCTTTGTCTCCAGACAAGTGAAACTCTGGAAACCTGCCCATTTCTTAACGTCCCCCTCAACGAGCTCTTAGCAAAATTCACCTCTGAGAAAACCTCCTCTCCTGTGGACTGAGGACTGGAATCTTGTAAGAGCCGCAGATTTGAACAATTCTCTAACTGCAAAAAGGACAAAAGCAAACAAATGTTCTCCACTCACTCAGCAACTGATCATATTTCTAAASAGATGTAGGACAGAGTAGAAAGAGCTGATAGTATCTAGCAAGCAAGTGCTGCTCACAGAAGAACTTGGCCAAATCTGGAATAGCTTTGATGAATTCCAGATAATAAATACACTAATTAAATATACATAATTACTTTTCAGTGTTGGGTAGAAGTCAAAAAGAGCTGTGTAGATTTCCTAGCATAACCTCAATTGCAGTTACTGAGTCAAGAGATGAAATTAAGAACTACTAATTCCTGTAAAATATTTATTAGAAAACACACTTTTTTGTTTCTTTCAGAGTATATCTTCTACCAAAACATTACTCTGAAATAAATTTCTGGATTGAAATCTATTTAAACTAGATATTTTTTTAAAATAATTTAATTCTGGGTTGACAGGACTTTTGATCCCAACACATACATCAATTGTGATTGCTTTTGACCCATTAATATTTTTTTGATGTCAACTCAGGATTATTCCACGCTAAAATCTTTGAATAAAGATGACTTAAAGCCATACACATTTAGGTAATTAAATATGGGTTTCATTTCTACTGGTATGGTATATACATTTGCAAACAAAAATACAYGTATTTTCACTTTTGCACCCCTTCATTCACAGAAACATGTTTAATGGAGCTAGGAGGAAAAAACAGACCATCAACAGACACATAGCAAAGTGATGCAGAGACACTGACAGAAAATCCATTGCTGATAGTCCGTTAGAGAATAACCTGCTGGTTGTATTCAGTGAACATTCCTGTGTGTTTTTAATGATGCGATGTACAATTACTTACGAATTCTGTACGCTTGAAAGGAGATCAAATGCCAAATGACATTTGGATTGTTGCAATTAAGCTATTAAAAAGACTTTTGAAATAAACAGAGAAAAAAGAAACCCAAAAGGTGTTGCCTGGGATATGCATGCAAGTTCTCTTTGCTTCTGAACATGCAAAGCAGGAGGTGAGACGGAGACATCTCCCACCCAAGGTGGCCTTTTTAAAAGTGCTGTATTTCGGGCTAACGTTGCTGAGAGAGGCCGTAAGGGAGGTTGCACAATTGCACACAGGCACCAGGCATCGGTTGCTGCATTTCTTGGGCACCTGTGCCCTCCAAGGRCCCCCTGCTTGTGCCCCCCATCCCAGAGGCTGGACGTGTCTTAGTCACTCTGATTTTAATTGCATTTTATTTTCCTTCTGGGAGAAAAGTTGCCAGGTGTGTAAAGCCTATTCATTCTCCAATGTATGACTGGGCAGAGCTGGGAAGACAGTATTATGATGTGCATATAAGATATGTTATTGTTACAAGTTAATGATTGCAGCTGACTAATCCTTTGCCTTACAGTAAAATGGAGAACAGATGGAAACTGTTTGCTCTGCTAACCAGCTATGAGGAAACTCCCTGTATATCCCCCACTCTCCGCGCTCATTCAAATCAATAGCATCCTTCTGTCCAAGACATTAAGATAAATCCTGGAAATCTTGGTATCGATTAGGTAGATGCTTAAAAAATTGATCACACCACAAACAGAGAAATGGCATCGAGTTGCATGTGGAAGCTCACTACGCTTGCTAGGGAATAGGGAGCCAAAGTGCAAACTGTTTCTGTTCACAAACCCCAGCCAAAACTAATGTAAACAAGGTCCAAGGAGAGATGATATTGCAAGCACACTCTTTATGTCATGCAGCTTCCAATAACTCCCGGTGCAGGAGCYGGAGGACTGATCCAGCAGCTCTGGCTTGCCAGCATGTAGAGGACRAGGGCTAAAGAGGGGTCACCGCCACAGGCGACGTGGGGCAAGGCGAGCTGCTGGGGGCTGAGTTCTGCCTTCACACCCTGCCCAGAACAGCTCCCCGGCGGCTGTGGGGCAAACAGCCCACAGCAGGTCCCTGTATTCCCTACGGATAAACAAGGGTGATGCCGAACATACGGCACAGGGCTG